CCTTCCCTGAATTCAAGCTTTACACCAATCACATCACAGTGAGTGGCATTAAGCATAGTCTAAACCAATGAAATCACAGTTTGTTGGGATTAAACATTCAAATGTCGAACCCTGCCCTGTTCTGCAGGCTGCAACCAGGATAATTGGTGTTGGAGACAAGATTGCATGCTGAATTTCTCTTCATTACCAACATGTTACCATCTTCTTTCTGCAGGCTCGCTATAACTTCATCCGCAGTATGGCTGCCTACAGCCTCCTGCTGTTCCTGCTGCAGATCAAAGACAGACACAACGGCAACATCATGCTGGACAGCAAGGGCCACCTCATCCACATAGGTGTGACACCTCCACAGTTTATACTCTCATTCTGTCACGTTAAACTGCAATAGCTAAACCTATGCGACACTCGAGGACAGTTTCTCTACAAAGCAACAGTGACATCAACCCGTTTTTCTCCAGATTTCGGCTTCATGTTCGAGAGCTCTCCTGGCGGTAACCTGGGCTGGGAGCCAGACATCAAGCTGACAGACGAGATGGTGATGATCATGGGAGGCAAGATGGAGGCCACGCCTTTCAAATGGTTCATGGAGATGTGTGTCAGAGGATATCTGGCCGTACGGTAAGAGACTGTAAAGGCGTTTCCGTGCTGTTCTTAAGATTTCTGCCGATGACTTTTTATCCTCCACAGGATTCACAGGTGAAGAGAGGAGTGGGATGAAGTCGCAGATATTGTTGGTTTCTCATTTTTGCTTTTTCTCTGAACAAACAGACCCTACATGGATGCCGTGGTTTCTCTTGTGACTCTCATGCTTGACACTGGACTGCCCTGCTTCAGAGGACAAACCATAAAACTCCTCAAGTAGGTCTAACAGCAGCATAACTGAGTGTTTCAAATGTTTTAGCTAAGTATTGTGGTAAACATTGTCTAAAAATCCTACAAATTCCACTATACAATGAAAATTATTGACTTTGTACATGAGACAGAAGCATTGCCATGAGAAAAGAAACAGGAAATACAGTTTATTTCACTTTAACATTTGGTGTTTGCTGTTCACTTGTTATATAATTATATAGCTGAATTTAAATGCTCACACTGATAAACAATGTTAGCAGTATTTATAAAGGAATAGCTCTGTACCCTTGTTGTTTATTGTCATATGTATGTTTGAGTAGTTTGGTTCATGAACAGGAAACAAAGCTGTTGTTCTTAATTTAACTGTAGCAAAGTCAAAGGATGTACTGCGCAGGAAGCTACTTAACAATGATTCAGTGCACAAACAAAAAAATATATATATTATTTTCCAATTTTGTTTCCACTTTTAAATATCAAAATGTTTCTTTTTTCTCCAGAGGACGTTTTAATCCGCAAATGAGTGAGAAAGAAGCAGCAGCGTTCATCATCAAAGTCATCCAAAGCTGTTTCCTCAGTAGCAGGTGAGAAACAGACGCATGTGACTTGTGCTGCAGTTGTAACAGAAGTAAAAAGAAATAAGTCTGGTCCCACCCTTTGCTGTTAGTAATGTCCAAAAATTGACAGCAAAATCAATCATGTTTTAGTTTGTGGCTCTCAGCCTTAAAATCATGTGTCGCTCTTTAAAAAGACTTCACAAACATGTTTGTTTCATTCAGCTCAGTCATTTCCTACAACAGTTTGGTACTCCCATTTTAAACGTGTTAAGCAGCCGGAAATAGTGTATTTGTTTGTTTACAGTAGCGGCTTAATCCATATTTGGTGCCTTGTGAGTATTTGTTGCAGCAGGACTGAGTTATAATAAACCACATTGATGTGTTCGAGGAAATGATGGAACAAATGATGGAATGATGTCATCCAGTTAAAACAATGTATCAGGCCTTTTATACACTCATAGCATTAAATGAGCTCTTTAAGTAAATGTACATATCAGATTGTAGTTTTAAAGGACTCTGATTGGCATTCTGGACCAAAATAAAGAATCAATGCAGCTGTAGGTAATCATTAAAGACCCCCACTGGTGAAAATCATGTGTTAACCCATCCATGTGATGTTTTATGTGCTAGAATGAGTGAAACAAGCAGTCATCGTCGTGGTTAAGCATTTCCACCTTAAAACTGCTGACGATACTCTCAAAAACACACTTTCAGACTCCCAGGGTTTAATACATAACTAGCCTCAGGAACCAATCCTGCAGGGTGGGACTTTCTTTATCAATACTGATCTTCAAAATTGTATGAAGCAGTGGTGCAGAGTTATTTTATTTTAGCAATTTGAAGGCTTTCATTAAAAACAAAAAAAGAATCTTCTACATATGTATCTGTTATACACAGAGATGAGTTTTTAGGGGTTCAATCAATGACTGGAAGGAAACTTTAAGACTATAACCAGCTTTTTTCTTTATTATGATGCAAATACTAACATGGTATAAAGTACATTTTTGCACTAACAGATTTTTGTTGACTTCATTTCAACAGGAGCAAAACATACGACATGCTGCAGTATTACCAGAATCAGATTCCCTACTGAAGATCCTGTGCTGTACGTCTCCAAACAAGCAATTCGAATCTGGGTGATTTGAATGAAGTGATGGATGCAACTCACCAGCCCGTCCTGACAAACACTCAGTCAGGCAGCAGTGGGGCATTTTATTGCTTATTCTCCAGTTTTATTCCGCTTACTGTAAGTTTTTATAATGTACATCCGTGTTTGAAAGTATTTCGTTATTTAACGTGGCAGTTACAAAATGTTGTATGACTTATACCAAAAGTGGTATCCGAATCACCCTTTAAGTATTTCCTCGATGCTGTTATTTGTTCCTCAGCAAACACTAAGTGACGTGTCACTAGAGGAGGATGGCCATAAAGGGAGCCATATTTACAGTGTTTGTCAGAGCAGCTGTTATCATCGTTATCATTCGTTGCTATGCTGTTATCCACTTTGATGCACTTTATAGATCGCAGTATTTCATCGGCTTCACCTGCCTACGATCAAACGCTTAAACAGAGATTAAACGTCACATATAGAGATTCAAACAATCTGCAATTTACTCAGCTGATCAATTGAATTTCAGTATTTTTAATTTACAAATATAGGTGTTGTCAGATAGATCAAAAATCAATGCAGGAGTCAATCAGCATTTAATCTAACAGTAGTATTTAGAAATGTAAACATTATTTAGAGAATCAAAGGTAATTAAACTGTAGTCTGTACTGTAGAATTATTACTGTAGATTCAGATCACAGGCATTTTTCTGTGACTTACATGTGGAAAAACATATTTATCAGAAGATTTGAAAAACCTTTAACTGTGCTAATATGATCCTTATCCTCACGTAACACCTCTTCATGTCAGTCTTTAGGTGAAATCTGTTATATGGAGGCATTTTGCCACTACAAGAACTGAAGCTGAAACTTTTAGAACTTTTCTTTCCACTGTTTTACTAACCTGAATGTGTTGGATGTTCGATACAGACAAAACAGACCAAAAAAAAGTCATTTTTATGCATTGAGTGCAGCAGTGGGACAGACAGCAATGGAAAAGGTGCCTCTAATACAGTTACAGAGCAAAGCAGTGATTTTTCTGAGAAACACCCAGAAATTTGTTTAATAACAGTTATGTAACCTGAACATTGCAAAACTTCCCTTTTGAATAATATGCCACACTTTCTAGATAAAATCATACTTAGACTTAAAAACAAGCAAAACTAGCTTTACTTGATAACACTGGGTTACAAAAAAAATATGTTTTTGGAGGTGTCTAGGATTTTTAAACTGATTTAGGATATTTTTGCAACGCTGAATCCAAAAATGACTTCTGCTTTTCTGTATCAGGTCAGGTTTTTATACCAACTCGATTTTTAAAAAATAGATTTTGCCACTAGATTGATTACATTTTTTGACATTAGCGATTGATTTATTTTAATATTTCTCAAATGAACTCGAATTTTAGAGGAACATTTTCATTTTCTAATCCTTTTCATAAGCTAAATGATCCAAAAGTTCATGAGCATAAACATTTGCAAAGGGAAATATAAGTAAATTGCATGTGGCGACAAATCAAAATTTTGACTTCATTGAGCAAAACCAATGTAATATTTGGATTCAGCACATTGCAGTTGTCTAAAATCAGCTCAAAAAGCTTTGACACCAAAATGGGTGTAGACCAGTGTAATCAGTCTTAAAATAAATCAGACTGTCATTGTAGCACATCAAATCTGGTCATCAAAAAGACACATTTAAAACAATCTAGTTACAGCTAATGAATGCAAAAGAAGCTTTTAGATAGACATATCCCTTTTATCTAGTTAGAAATAACTTAAAAACACAAAGCTGCTGATCAAAACAAGACATTTCCTTGAGTTAAGTCGAAGGATCTCCAGTAGAAAGTGTTCGATAATCTATGCATATCCAAAACAAGGCCAACCGCACTTGAATCTTAGGCAGACGTACAGTGAATTAACATGTGTATGCAAAATAAAAAACACGTGAATTTGTCGAAAAATATACAATAATAGAGTGCTGTATCAATATTGAAATAATATTAAATACAAGCAATAATTACAGTTAGAAGTTTGGTTCACATTGGGCCACTTGTGTGAGAACTCGTGTCATATCTGGCAGGTTTACACTTGCTTTAAAATGCATCTTAGGCGATCGGATCATAACTGATCGTATTTCAAATTAAACAGGGCCTTTATTTAGATTTTCACAAAAAAGTTGCACACCTTGGTGCACTGCATTCACTAAAATACAAAACTGGAGACCTTATTATTGTAGTTGTGTTTTAACTTTACTCATAATGACAAGACAGCATCTTATGATTATATATCAGTTAATTTGTAGAAAATGTTGAGAAACAAAAGCAATGGTTTAAGGCCAACTTCATGCTGCAACATGTGTTCTGTTTTTTGTTTGCTGCCTTTGTTTGTTTACATGTTTGGAAATGCAGTATGCTGAACTTAGCCGTTACTTTATGCTGTGTAGCATTGGATGTGCTGACGACTATCAGTGAAGAAATCTTAAAAATCTGGGGGATTCTCTGGCAACCTCTGAAACATTCAAGTTCGTTTTGAGTCTGTTGTACATTGTCTTGTAATTATGAGATTGTTTTCTAATAAGTTAAGATAAGGTCTTCATTTTTTTTCCTTTTATGAATGCTTCTGTAACAACTTGGGTAACAGGTTAAAACCCTTGTTATTATGCTGTGGATGGACATGTTTTATCGGGTCTTTGCTGATTCTAAAAACACTGTTTTAAACAATCTTCTGGGTTTTGGGAAATCTCTAACTGTCTCTGCTCCGTAACATCAAATCAGCCCACCGGTTGCATTTTTCCTGCATCATCCAGAGTCTGCTGGAGAACAGAGCAATAATTTAGGATTTTTACATTTTTGTCAAGAGAAATAATCTAGTACATAGGTTTTGGGTAAACTAGTGAAAAAAAAATTAGCTAGCTACAATGATGTTACTGGGGAATGTAAATAAACCTATAATGAAACACACACATGCCAAATAGTCTGAATCAGAATATCAGCTGTACATTAAAACAATACCCTTGTAGTTCTGATAGCTACCTGAACTCATCTTACAAGCTGCAGTGTTACAGCTGTTTCCCTTTGTCCTCCTGAGACAACCTGGATTTATATCACACGCTGAACAGCACTGCACCAAAATGTAGTTCAAGGTTAGAGAACAGTGGAAAAAAACAACTCGTTCTTGCAGTGGTACAGGCCTGAACGCAGCACACGGGCTGGACCAGGACTCACTGACTGCATTCTGAACACTGTTTTTTGTTTTGTTTTTTCTTTCTCATGTTCTTTTTCTTTTCATTCCTTTTTTTCTTTTCTCCTTCTATTCTTAATTCTTCTGTCTTTTTCTTCGCCCTCTTTCTTTTATCCTTTCATTGACTTTCATTCTTTACTTTCTTTTTCCTGTCTTCCTTTCTTTGCACTTTTTTCTCTTCTTTTTCTCTTAATTTATTTTTTCCTTCATCTTAGTTTTTTCTCGTTTGTAGCATTAAAGGCCTAAATACAGCACACCGGCTGGTCCAGGATTCATTGGCTATTGGAAATGTATTTGTGTCCAGACTAATGAAGTGTATCAGAGTATATGTGTGAACATGAAACATGTCTGCAGAACCCTGTTTGGAAACATTCCTCTTCCTGTCATCATTACTAGTCTTTGCATCAGATCGAACGTCTCGGGTTACCAATGCAGATGATGATTATACCTAAAAAGCCATTTCTCCTACCCTTGGTAGAAACACAAGTGTAGTAATACTTGACAAGAATAACTACCTTTATGCAATATATTCATGTATATCAATGCTGTATCTGTGTGTTGTGTTTAACAAATGACGTTGCTATCCTGCCTTCCATCCCAGTCCTCGTGTGAGAAATGCTGCAGCTACGTCTTCCTGTTGTTACCGTGCATCACGAAGGGGTGAACCTAAAGTATTTCAAATTCAATGGATGTAAATGGGTCTGTAAAATGAGGAGCTCTAATGATCAGAAAGCCATTTTTAATGTGGTGGTTTTCATTGAATTGCTGTAATTTAAATATAATAGTCATCCCTCATATCTGTTGTTATTTGTGAACCACGAGAGTTGGTCAACTTGTGTGTATGTGTGTGTTCATATGGCTATCTTTGAGGACCAGTTTCAGACATTTAGGGGAAAATGAGGACGTTTTGTCTGGTGCTCAGTGTTTGAGTGACCGTTAAAGGGCTGTTTAGGGTTCAAACTTGGTTTTACGGTTCAGGTTTTAGGTTATGGTTAATCAAAAGAGCCGAGGAATGCTTTCGTGAATGTCCTCATAAAGATATCCATATAAGTGTGTGTTTGTGTTTGATCAGTTTGTGGGGGCATAGTTCCATCAATGAAAATCATTTTTTCTGATAATGTGTGAAAACTCATTATGTCCAGATTAAATGTGAACATTTCACCAGAATATCAATGTTTCCTTTATTAGGGTCCGAGCACACCAGTGCAAGGACCCTATTGTAACCGTTGTGATTATTATTAGGGTCCGAGCACCCAAAAGGGTGCGAAGACCGTATTGGAACTGCTCGGATTATTATTATTCGTGCCAAAGATACGCGTTTTTGAGGTCCTAAACATACTCGAAAACTCACCAAAATTGCCATGTACATCAGACCCGGTGAAAAATTTTATAATTTGGAAGAACAATACACACCTCAATAGAAAAATTGCTCCACAGCGCCACCTTCTAAATTGTCAAAAGCACATTTGGCCTAGAGCTATTGTTTTTTTGTAATTTTGTAGGCATATAGAGCAGGTCAGGATGAATAAAAAAGTCAGGCTGGGCCAAGTTGTAAAATGCAACACGGCTCAACAGCGCCCCTTACAATATTTCAACAGATTCCCATTGGGGCTATGTTTGATTTACAACTACTACATTTGCTACACATATGTAACAACTACTACATTTGCTACACATATGTAACAACTTGTGCCGCACAAAAAAGTCCATTAGCATGTTTCTGTAAACT